CATGTCAGATTTTTGTACAGATTAAACAAAAGATTTCATTTCTTTCATAATAAAACCAGTGACCATACATTCAGACTGAGTTTGGCTCCTTCTCCTGCCTCTGCCATTCATATCAGATACAGGGTATTGGCTGTCTTCCTTCACCTCGTGTCACTCTTCTTTGGCCTGACATCACCTCCCCAAAATAGCCTCCCTAACTCTACCTGTCAAAACTACGCAGCAGCCTGGTCCTGTCACATCACTCCAGCTGGAGAGAAACAGAGATGTATGTGTGATATGTGTAAAGTCCCATTAACTATGTTGTGATGTCAGTTCAATATATCAGCCCGCTTGACCTTTCAACATGTATGGCAGCAGGAAGGTTGTTTATGGGCCAAGGCAAAATTCATTGCTGTTCCTGGCACTGTCATACTCTTTTTATAAACAAAGCCTTTTCTTCTCTGCCACATCCAGTCCTCTCATTTCTTCATTAAATCTACATGACCAGACAAACTTTGGGACACTCCTTTTGGTTCAATTCAATGGGACAGTGTGTCCAAACATTTGACTGGTAAGTAGTTCAAACTTTGTATTCACGGTCTCTAATAAAATCCATAACCTATAGTTAGTCATATGTAGGCTGCTAATAGACTGCTATGTTGCTCATGGTTTCCATTGGAGACAGTACAAATTAGTCATCATCATATTAGCTCAGGAAATGAGAAAAATAAGTTGATTTAAGAAATTGTTCTTGTTTTGAGAAATCCAATTTTTAAAGAATGTTAGAAAGCTTATTCCATGAATGTTTGCAAAATGGGAAACTAGAACCAGGAGACTGGGGTGTTTATTAATACAAATTATCCCAAGTTTGGACTTTAGGTATGAACTCCTGACAGGGAGGACGCAGTACTTTTAATGCGCAATTGGAACATCGGCATCCTTGCTGACAGACTGAACAAGCTGTAGCTGCCTGCTAATTATATCTAGTGGGTCTGTTAGCAGGTACGGAGATCTCCAAAAACATCTGAGCAAATTTTCAAATTCGCATTACTTGATAAAATGAACACATATTCCCAATCTACTTTCTCACCTGAAAAAAAAATCAAAACTTTATAAAGTGGCATAATAACAGTCCTAGGACAAAAAATATGACAGCACTGAGTCTGGCTCCAATTCCCATAGATGGTACATAGTGCATTCTGGGATACTTAGCTGCCCCAAGCCCACACAAGTCAGCTCCCAAAGCATCATTGGGTAGAGCAAGAACATGTCTGTTTTTTGATATGTATTTGTTGGATGCAGACTTTGAATTGGAACAGTACTTGAGCTGTGACTGATGATGTTTTACAAGGCCACAAAAACACAAGAACAGAGAAGTATGCATATTGGAAAACAGCCCAGAAGAGACCTGCTGGTTGCCTGGCGCCCACACAGTGACAACAAATCTCCAGGAAGTCACTAGTCCAAGGAAAGAAATACTTGAGCAGATAACTCCCCACAAAACTTCAAAGTATTGTTTTTACACTTTAGTTTTTGTCAGATTAAACAAATTAAAAAAAGGTATTATTAAGAGAGCATTAGGGGTGCTGGTAGGGGAATTTTGCTATCTCCAGACAGAACCAGGCTACTGGGGTGCTTGGCAGGTGAAGCAGTTGCCCAACAATGTGGTTGCGACCAAAAAATAACTCGTTATCATAAAATGTCAGAAACTGAGAAAAACAGTGATGATATAAAGTCGACCACCATGCAATAGTCTTAATTGCCCCAGCATCAAGAGTCCCCACATTGTTCATCATTAGTAATTCACAGGCAACGAATGTTTCACCTTGGTGCAAAGATTGGCACAGAAATTCAAAAAGACAAGTGCTGAGATGAACAGAGCTCAGAGAAAATGGCATGATTTTGTCAGTTTCATCTGTGGCCAATTCATCTGCATAGCTTTCCTTGAAGATTATGGATTCCTGCGGATTCAGTGCTTTGGGACATTCTCTGCCCAGCTCAGTATATTAAAGCAGAAAACATTGCTGAGTTGGTCCTGCTGCACAAAAGCCCTACTGAAAGCTGATTTATTAAGAAGAGAATTGCAGACAGGTTGAAAACTGTTTAGATTAGAATAGGATGGCAGAGAGAACTGATGACTGATTGAGAAAGGAGCATTTCTTAAAAATATATCTAGAGGAATAAAAAGCCAAAGCAACTAGCTTAAAGCAATCTCAAATCAATCATAATCCAAGGCCTGGAAAATTCAGTTGTATAAACACAACAATGGAGTAGGAGCAATAAATACACACAAAAGCGAGAGGGTAAAATGATGCGAGGCAGGTTTGGTTCAGCCTGAGCCAAGTGGGCTAAAGCAAGACTTTGCTCTCTTTCATTCTCTTTTCATTTTGGTCTGAGACCAAGGTCATTGTGGGCTCTGAAGTGGGCACGGCAGGTGGTGGAGAGCAGCAGAAGAGGTCAGGCAGGCAGGGGAGGAATTCTAGTCAGTCTGAGACATTTTAAATGGAGCCATAAGGGTGAAAACATCTTATAAAGGCTAAGAAAGACCCATCTTCACTCAGACTGGGAAAGCCAGTAGGCAGTGAGGGATGGGCAAGCAGGAAACAGCCTTGTCTCAAGATACCACCTTACTGACTCTAACCATTTGTGAAAATTATTAAAGGATACACTGGCACAGTTATGTACTGTAGATGAAAACAAACATGGAAAGAAACATTACATTTCTCAATTACATTCCCTGGGGCTTTGCAGAGAATCCTATGGGCCAGGGAATGTTATAAATAGGTACCAAAGAGCAGCATAACACATTAGATCATTGACCTAATCTACAAACCACTTGCTGGACCTTTTAGCTTGTGGATGGAAAACAAACCTGCTTCCACTTTTGCCAGCCAGACTCACATATAGAAGTACTTTTAAAAGACCAGAACAGCACAAAAAAATTCTAATTACCGAGAATGATTAAATCTTGCAAGGGAATAAAGTCTATTGATAGAAATCTTCTATGCCTTTTCATTTCTTCAGCACTTAGTTTGCCACTGCCTCTGTTATCTGTCACTTTGCACATGGAGTGCATCAAAATAAATGATAGTATCACTGATGTACAATAAAAAAAAAAAAATACAATACCAAACGTCCTATGGGATAGACTCAAAGGAATGTCAAAGCAAGAGCTGACAATGAAGGATGCAGAATCTAAGAAAAGAAAATATAACTTTTATATGAATAAAACCTTTGTGGCTATTATACCTTGAGCTTGGAAAACTCTCAGTGTTTAGGCTCCTTCCATTTCAAGTCCATGAAGTTTATTTAACCTGGGCCAGCCAAGGCAGAAACTTATTAATACTTTATTTGAGGATAGATCCTCTCTGACCAATATGGAGAGAGCAAGAGAAGCCTTGCTGGCACAAGACTGTGGTTTCACAGGTATCTCCCCCCCCCCCAACTCAGTGGTAGAAAATCCAGAGCTTGCTAGAGATTGCCCTCTTGTGGTTCATTTTAGAATGCAACTTGCCTGAGCAACAACATACTGGTGAATCACACACTTTTTCACCTGGTTCGCAATCAGAAAAACAAAGACTAAAAGAAAACTCTAACTCGGATGAATTTCAGAGCACTCAGCTGAGTTTGAAAGATTACTGTCATCATGTTCTGTCATCTGATTCAAGAAGACCAGACTTAAAACTCTTCATCATACATCGATTGCAATGGTCACTCTGAAAGTGTATATTTAAGATCACATATTTAATAACAAAGTTATGAACAAAATAATGACTCCAGGAAGCATATCACATTATTCTGTTTTTTGTTTGTTTTTGTCTCTTGAGGAATCTACCTCTGGCTTTGTTTAAATTAAACTGGCCAATAAAGGTTTCTCTGAGGACTTTTATTTCATATATTATTTTGAATATAGCTACTGTTTATCACATATATTGCATCCAGATTTTTCATATAAAATCGAGATGTGTGTGTGTGTGTGTGTGTGTGTGTGTGTGTGTGTGTCTGGGCATGTTGGTTAAAGGAAAGTTCTCCACCTTAGACTGGGTAGATAACACAAATATGCATGACATTAATCAGCAGAACTACATTTCCCTCTGAAAAGTATTTTATTATATCAGCATAAGTTGTGCACCTAAGAACTGTACTGTACCAACAGGACCAACAGCATGAGAAGAGCTTTTTATTCCAACAAGCCTCCAGGGGCTGCACCCTGGTCCGACTCCTGGGAACCTGGAGATGTAGGAGGTCTTGTCTGATGGGTTGTCCCTTTTACACTTTGCTCAGCTTCTTCACCCGCATCCCCACAGATGTTGTGCTGAGCTGACCGACAGGTCACCTGTCCTAACACCTTCTCCCTCTCCAAAGCCACCAGCATGGTCTGCCTTAAAACTGCCTGGTATTTATCATTCATCCACTTTACTGTAGGCTCGTAGCTGTTGCATTGCACTTTGAGCTTTCTCATCTCCTCGATGAGCCGGGTTTTCTCCTGGACAACACGCTTATGCTGCAGCCGATGGAAGTCTCTGGCTTTATGGACCCTCACCAGAGTCTCAGAGGCAGGAGAAGCTGCTAGCCCGGATCCCGCCGAGCGTTTCTCAGCTCGCTTTCCAGGCGCTCGTTTTCGATGTACACGCTCGGTACCACACCGACCCGCTGTGCATCTACCATCCCTTTCTGTACCATCTCAGTCCACTCAATCTGAAAGCAGTCAAGTGTTTTTGTCATGCCCCTTTGGAAGAGGAAGTTGCGTATAAAGTCATCCACGGCTTCAGGCTGGTGTTTGTTGCTGACTGTGTTGGGCCCAGGAGAAGCCCGAGCTTTGACTTCGGCTTTGATAGCTTTCACCGTCGCTCTCAAGTTTTCTTCCCCTTCTGTTAAAACCCAGTCTTCCTCTATAGATACGTCTTCATATTTAAAGTCATCATCACTGTCACTGGGAACGTATTTGTCTTCGTTTTCTTGACCACTGTTAATTGCGCTCATTGCTTACCCTAATATCCGACATGCAGTGAAATAAAGTTTGCTGTGTTGTCATGGTAAAGACTTGACAGTTCAACGCGAGATTTCACGAGTTCACGTTTATCCCTTAAACCGTGATCAAACAATCATGGCTGACTACCGAGAAGCGCCCTTGGCTAGTCGACCAAAATCATTGGATCCAAATGAATATTTCAATCTTTCGTCGGACTTTAGACGTGCTGAAGAAGACAGGGCTGCAATACGAGCCAATCTGAAGCGGCAGTATCAACTGCAACTCAACAACCCGCTCAGAAAAGAGCTCATTGTAAGTGCTAGTTAGCAATGTTAACGTCAACCTTGAGATGAGTATAGGGTACTTGCTGGAATGCGAACGATAAGTAGCACATCATTGCACACCATAGGCCTCATACACTTTAAAGTACAATGTCTATATTTAGTTGTCTACATCTTTTAGTAGAACGGGCAACACTATATCTCATTAATGTTCTCGGCAGTGACCTTTTAAGCTAACTAGCACAAACTGAACAGTAGGGTAACTGTTAACGTTATTGTGATTTCACTTGCTCTGGCATCTAACTATCTTACAGTGACATATATTTGTCAAGTTAGATAGTATACTGACAAAAACCCAGTTTCGTATTTTCTCGTGAAAATGTATGTTAGAGGATTTTTATGCTCTAGATCTAAGCAGACGTTAGTTGAACTGTAATATACAATTACATCTAGCGGCTTATTTTTATATAGTTTGCAAAACATAATGTAAATTATAAGATAACTTGGGTCATTTCACTATAGTGCTAATGTTACTAAGCACGAGAAATAAATGTAAATGCACCACACACTGTATGATATGTAATTTTGGTAAATTGAACAGACGCTATCTCCAGATGTTTCATTGAGTAAAACTACAAGAAATCAGGTCTCATCAATTTAATCAGTTTGCTTAGGTGCAGGATGTCTAGTATTATAAAAGGAAATGGTTTTTTTCCATCAGTTATTTACATTGCACAAAACAAGTAAATCTTTTCTACTACAGTTTACACAGGGTAACCACAGAAATCTCATTTATGTTTCTCTTTACAGGAAGACCCTGCTCTGACACAGTGGGTGTATGCACGTACCAACCCCTACCCACACTTCAGGCCCACATACAAGACATCTCTGTTGGGTGCAGTGTTCGGAGTTGTGCCTCTATTTGTAATGTACTACATTTTCAAAACAGACAGGGTATGGACACACTAAACTCTCTTTGCTTGATTATCATTGATTAAAGACAACTCAGCTTTAGCTGTTTAATCAACATATTTAATAATTGTACCATCTTTTTATTGACCTTTACGTTGTATATGCAGCAGACTAAAGCTAGAGTAGAACAAACAACTATATGCCATTGTGGTTAAAATCTTCAGGGTATACCACTGTGCTGCAGCAGACACTTGTTTTTTTTTTTCATATCACCACTATTGTCTTTTTTCACTGCATCTATCCGTTGTTATATTGGCAATATTCTGTGCTAAACCGGTGGTCAAAACCTCAATGACATTACTTGATTTAATGCATTGAACAGCATATTATTGTCATGAGAACATATGAGGCATTTTTACCATGCTATAACACTAATATTGATTTTATTAGCTAATCGTAATACACTGATGATATCATTTACAAGAATGATTTTTGCAGACATAATGCTAAAATGCATTACTTGGTCAGAAATGGCATTGTAGACATCTGAAAAGCTTTTTAGTTGAAGACAGATTCATTCTTCCTTTGTAGGTGCACAGATGCTTTTTTTTAGTCACAGTTCCATTCACATTAGAAGTGAATGCTTCATTTCAAATGTTGCCTGCCTTCATTTTCCTCCCCATTATCATGGAGATTCACCCTCTAAACCCTTGCCAATAGACACTGAAGTAAGAATTTGGTGCAATTGTCACACTGCTGGGCTATCATGTTCGTCTCCCTCTCTCCACTGGGAGGAGAAAAAAAGCTTGAAAATCATAAAGCGCATTCATAAAACATTCAGTTGAGAAAATGTCCGCAAGGTGAAGAGGGTGAGGGGATATGACTTTGTTGCCATGGAAACTGTACTAACCCATCATCTGTTTGTCATCTGTTTTACAGGATAGGAAGGAGGAGCAGATTAAGGCTGGAACCTTCAAGCGCCCGTTCAGTTTGTCATCTTGAGCTCTGATGAATAAAGACCTCGTCTGTGTTCTAGTGATGTCAGTTTGTGTAATTATTAACTGAATAAAATGATAACGTTAAAGGCAAAATACATGGCTTTGATTTCTGAGGCAAAAGTAAGAATGACAGGAAAGAGGTGCATGAGACTGTGAGGGTGGGCACAATTCATGGCCACAGACCAGAGTAGTGCACACACAAGCACTAGAGCTGCATATTAACCAGTAGAGAGTGTGACAAAGTGGCTGCTATCACATCACCAGTAACTAATGAGGTTCCCATCAGGAAGATATTTCAGGACCTTACAGAATAATCATTTTAAAATGTTCCTGTTTGGGCAGCAGTTAGATTGAATATTGTTGAACAAAATAGGCTGTTTTGTTTGATAGGAGGTGCAGAGCACAGGATTGTTTAAAAAAAAAAAGATAATCAGTTACATTACATTCACACCTATCTATACTGGATGTGATCACATTCTAAAGCAAGACCATGCAACTATTGCTAATCAACAGCCATTGTGGCCACAAATGACAATTACAGGATAGTTGCAAAATTAGTGTAACTGGGGCACAAGTACAGAAGAGTTAGTTACTTTGTCCTTCTACTTTTTGCTGGGTTTCCAGTTAGGGTTAAAGTGGCTGTGGAGAGGTTCCCAGCACCGGTAGTAGCTCTTGTCAAGCCTCTGACATGTTTCTAGACCCCATTTGGTCACTGCCATACTGAAGAATGACTCAAACATGAAAGCCTGAAGGAAAGACAAAAATATGTTTTTGACATGGTCTCAAAAGTTTTTATAATGTCAAATTAAAGTTCTTCATGGCCTATTTATCTTGCTTTGTATTTTATTTTTTACCATGGTTCCCTCAGCCACCCTCTCAGGTTTAAGCTCAGCAGTGCTGTTTTTGTCAAAGCAGTCTGCGTCTGGGCCATGTGGGGTCATCATGCTGTGGAGGCTGGCCCCACCTGGCTGGAAGTCCTCCTCTTTGGCTTCATAGTGGCCTTTGATCAGACCCATGAATTCACTCATGCAGTTACCTAAAGGCACCAACAGGTGGAGCTGTAACATAAAGCTGTCCTGGATACAATTTGCTATACAAAAAGCAGGTTGTAACACTGATTTGCAGTGTTATAGATGTGTGTTGAAAACAGACAAAAGGTACTGCGGTGGGGCCTCAGCTGAAAAGAGTCATACAGCAGGTGGACTGTTATCACCACTGGCTGAGTAAATGTACACGTTAGCTTCTGACTGGTTTCTTTCATTCCATGACAGACTCAAATTAACCTCACTAGGCAGAAGGTAATTCAAATAAGGATTCAAAATCAGGTATTAACAACCTAGTGTCAAAATTCATAGTTTCTGATTTGGACTTACGGTGATAATACGGTGGCCGGAAAGTGTGGTCAGCCACACCCCACCGTGGGGGAAAAATCACAAAATCAGCAATGGCCACACCTGGTCGCATGGATTTGGCAGTCAGGAGAGTAAAGATAGATGGATCCTATAGAAAGATTATAAAGAGAACAATAAGTGACAGTTATGGGGTGCTTATATTCTCAGTATATTAAAAAGTACTGTCAGCGTGTCTGTGTCCTTAAACATGACTCTTACTGCATGATCGAAGGCCACACAGTTGATAACCATAAAGTTCTTCAGGTTGTATTTGTAAGGTGTGTAGTTCCCATGCCAGGCAACCACATTGAATGGAGAAAAATCCTACGTGCAGAGCACACAACAAAACAAATAAGACGAGTCTACCCAAGCAACAAACACAAAAGACTTTAAATTGAGCTTTTTACAGTAAAAAAGGAACAATGAATGTCTTTGTAATCTTAAATTCCCAGATAGAGTACTTCTTGACATAGAGGAAAAAATGGTCATAATGAAAAGGGTTGATTGTGAAAGAGGGTGTGCTTCTTTCATTCTTTCTTCTCTTTCATTCCTTCTGTTCTTTGTGATACGAGGCTCCAGGTATTATGGGGTAATTGGCTTCAAAATCAAACTTTCCCAAACTTTGAGCACTTTGATGCTTGCAGCAGTGCAGTTATGGAGGAGGGAGCAGCAGTAACATTGGGTGCAGAGATATTTCTTTATCTTGATTGTTAAAACCACAGCAATTTTATATAGTCTTTCTGTTCTGATAATGTCACTCCAAAAAAAGACATTCAACAGCAGCTCTAAAATCAATATAGTTCATTACAACTCAAGCTGCCTCAAGATTGACCTCCATGCTCCTTACACAGTTGCTCACATATATCACCACATTATGAACAGCTAACACACTAACAATAAGAGCTCACAAACACATACGTATGCATACAATTGACTTGTGCATAAGTAAATTCATGCATTAGACAACTAATAATAAACACCACAAAAAACCTTACTCATTCAGTTTACAGTAGTTTCCATAAAAAGCCTTTGGGGTACCCAGTGCAGGTAATTTCTCAGACATTTGTCATAACTCCACTCTATTTGATTAAAATGAATGTGAAAATGGAGCAGAGCAAGCACTTGCACAAAAAACACAAACATATTGGCCCAGTCAAGCAAATAATAAGTTAATTTGAGCAATTTCAGCACTCTGCAGGGGAACAAAACAGCAGGACCCGACAGGAGCAGCAGCATCTTCCCAGAGATGAAGCCTACGTCCCCCCACCTTATTTTCTTACCACCCTCACCCTCCAGGCTCAGTGAAGGGTGGACACCAGAAAAAGAGTGTCAGGTGCAACCCACAACCTCCACCTCTAACCGCTGGCACATAACAGGAGGTGGATACTCAAATAGAGGCAGCAAGAGAAGTGTTTGTTTTGTTACAAAAAAGACAGTATCTCGCCCTTGTGTACTTCCTACAATGAATAATAACAGTGTGGTTTGACATGGTTTCCACGGTTACAACCCCCCAACACCCGCCCTTGACAAACCTCTCCTCCCACCTCCTCCGTCTCAGTAAAAACCTCCTGTCAGACATTATGTGTCGATCCAATTATGCACCCAACAGGACATTTCGGGAGGAGGAAGATCATTCCCCAAGTGAAATATGGTGAAATTAATGCTTAACTTGTGAAAGGCTTTTCCTACACAGCAAAGCTTCACAGGTACTCTGTCTGCAACTCCAGAATGCCTTAAGTAATTATGAGTGATTAAGACTCATAAGGGAGTCGAGGCAGAAACCTGCTGAATTGATAACAGCTAACGCTTCACTATTAAATCATCAGGAATGGCAATTCAATCGGCAGGAGCAACTAATGGATCATATGCTTCACTTGGACAGTTTCCTGTTAGTCATTGTTGCAGTTCAGTGGTGTTTCTCTGGAGCAAACACAAACCTAAATAGGGTAATAGGGCACATATGCCATATGTGTGTGATCTTATCATACAGCGTCTGTGTACATGTATGAGCAAACTGAAACACAAATTGAAATATCACAAAAAACACCTGTTGGCAGGAGAAAAGCTTCCCTTGGTACTTGTTGATGACGGTGTAACCTGTGGGCACTTTGTGTTCCTCATACCAAGCAACTGGACACAAGAAATCTCTTGGGTTGGCCAGACCATTAGCTCCTGCAAAATGTACATATAGTCAAACGCCTGCACACACAAAAAAATCTAAATCTCTATAAACAAGACTAAAGCAGGGTTCAAAACCACTTTGTGCTGTGTGACATTTTGTTTTAAAGCCAGACTTGTGAATGTGGAATTTTTGCACTATAGGGTTAGCCACATTTTATAGATGTTAAAATGGCTGGTGTGCAACTCTACAGCTGTCAGTAATGATGCTAAATGATGATGATTAGTAATTGTCTGCAAGCTCAATTTACTGCCCTCTATTACGTAAACTATTGATGGTCTGTTATGTAGGGAGCAGTGAATGAGGAAGTGATATCAGATAAAGTCTTCAGTCTACAGCCATGCTAATGGCTCTGTCAGGGTATACTTAGGCATTCTAACATGCTCACAATGACAATACTAACACACTGATGTTAGTAGGTGTAAGGTTTACCATGTTTACCAGTTTTATTTACACACCACTTATCATATTAGCATGCTAACATTTGCTAACTGGCACTAAATGCAAAGACAGCTAAGGTAGTTGTCATTAGTTTTGCAGGTTTTTGGTTGTAAACTAAAGCTTTGTACAAAAGAATATTTTGACCTGATGACGGTGCCAAATGAAAAGTCACAGAGATCATCATTCATCCTGACAGGAACATGAATGTGCGTACCTCTCCATAGCAATCAAGCCAATAGTTTTTGAGAAATTTCACTCAAAACCACCTCGTGGGGGCGCTAGAAAACTAATTATGACGTCAAAAATGTCATTAGGATTCATCATTCTGGCACCATGAATGTCCGTACAAAATTCCATGGCAATCCATTCCATTACAGAGACATTTTGTTTTTGACCAATGTGGTGGACTGACAGATGAACAGGGTGTGAATCAACTCAGACAATGATAAGATGTTGCAGGTAACAAATGTCGGTATGCAGATTTTATGGATGGGATGGATGAACATACACTACACATATTTACACTGCCAAATGTCATACAAACACACACCTATGGGTCCCAGGTCAGGGAGCTCAAAGTGGGCTCCATACACCTCCAGAATATAGCCTCTGGTTTCTCCAAACACATGCACGCTGAATCGCATCCCTTGCTGGAAACAGAACACATGAGAAGTGGTACTGAGAGCAAATTTAGTGCTGTTATTTATCAAATGTGTGGGATGTACCAGTGCTGAGGGAACCTATGGATGGACCAATGTGTTTGGGAAAACATGCTGCAGTTGCAAATCCTGGTGGTCATTCACTCCTTTTTTTATTGTCATTTATTCTTTGAGGTCACTTTTGGAAAGCACCAAACTATGTCTTTCTAAATACGGTAAGAGTGTCCTGCAGGCAGACATAATAGTGGATTTCTGTGAAAACTAGGGAGATGAAAAAAAGCTCACTTGGATGACACAGATCTCATTTGGCTCAATCCTCATCTTTCCAAACTCTGTGGTGATCAAGAGCTCACCCTGCTGGGGGACTAGAGAGACAAACAGACAAAGAGAGCAAACAAAAAGAGAAAATGTGACCGAGACGAGGACGGAGAATTCAGATATCATTGTTCTTGTGATAGAAAACAGTGAAAACATCAACAGCCTCTTTCCTCACCAATCAGAAAGTCTCCATCTGAGTTGCTGAAGCACCTGTAACAAGAAAAAATGGAGAAGCTCTGAAATCATTGTCAAAGTGTACCCACAGACTTTTTTTTTCTTTTTTCTGGTGATATGTGACAATACATGTACCATGCTTTCTGGAGTATTAGTCACACTTTGCAAAAAATGTGTTGTTGAAAGAAGAAAAAAACAGTGTATCATTCAGAGTTATGTCTCCATGCTCAGCAATCACCTGGGCATGGAGACATAACTGCACTGTTGATGGGCCTCTGCCAGCAGCTCGCTGTTCAAGGACCCATTTGTGGACTTGTTCCTCCAGTTCAGGCCATTGAACTTTAAGACCACAATTAGTCGTCTTTGTTTTTTTTTTTTCATAGCACCGAGAGTTGCCTAAGCTTTGAGCCAGTCACTGACAAGTTTCTCACTAACTCCAAACTTGTTCTCTGCTACTCGATTAAGGTTGTCGGCTGCATACTTTATATTCTGTAGTATAGGCTCTTTCTTTTTGGTGCCATTTTGTTTGTCCAAGCATTCTGTTCAAGTTATATTTCAGTCTACTGTAAATGTAAACTGCTTTTCAGTGGTACAGTACTATTTTGAGGTTAAAAAAAACAACCCTCAAAATAGTACTGTTGACCTCAACTGGGGACATTGTCGGACGGTGGAAGGAATACTTCGAGGATCTCCTCAATCCCGGCGCCATGTCTTCCGATGAGGAAGCAGAGGCTGAGGGCTCAGAGGTGGACTCGTCCATCACCCAAGCTGAAGTCACTGAGGTAGTCAAGAAGCTTC